ACGGTCAGTTTGTATGACAGCTATATGCTACAGTGTTTCGATATAGGCGATTTCGACAAATGAGCGGCTTCTTAGAGAGAAAAAAATGTGTAAAAAATTTCAGATCTCTTTTTCGCTCGAAAACTAAGGAACCGGTTTGTTTCATTAAGTGATAAACTGTTATCCAGCTTAGCGTATAGAAATAATAAATATGTGCAGTTGAACTATTGCTGCTGGCAAGCGATGTGATTTACCCCACTGTATATAATGAAATTATGGCACAACCATTTGCTTGCCATTTTTACACGTTTACGCTCCATTTAATTGCAAACGGTAAAATGGCGTGTCTTCATTATGTCGTGGTAATTGAAAGCTTCATTCATATTTATAGTTTTAATAAAAGCATCTGATGTAGAAAGTTTTGAAATAAAATTTGCCATAAAGCTTGAAAATTCAATATAGAATATTTATTGGTATACATCTATAGGAAAAACTGTAGGTGCGATATATATAAATAATTATTTATTAAGCAAAAAGTTGGACTGTATATTTTAATAATGGGAAATAAAACGTTTCTTTATGTTTTGAGTTTACAGCTACAAAGCTTGTACCCGTGAAAGCGAATGCTTGAGTCATATGAAGCACTGAGAGGCTCGAAAAGTTGTTGAAAACTTAGCTAATGATAGTATTATACAGAAAATGGGAGATCAACTCCAGTCACGAATCAAAATACGTTAATTTGCTTTCAAAAGACATTCTTATTAAAAAAAAAACATGGCAAAAGTCATCATGTCCCTCTGTAAGCTTGATGTTTCACAAGTTCATAAATGAATGAGGCTGCTTTGCTTCAAAAAAAGCTTCAAATAAGATGATGGCATAGTTACTTGTTTAAAAGAAAATATTTATTTAGAGATGGTGGAAGTCTTTCCAAACTATATTTCTTAACTTTTAATTACAGTCTCTGGAACCTCGATACTTATTTACCGCTTAATTTGGTCCATTGGTATTATGTTTTGAAATTGGGACCTCTTTCATATTTTTAGTACCGTCCACACAAACTGAGTTATGCATAGCCAAAAAATTGTTGTGCAGATATACTTAAACAGAGGCCATTTAAAAAATGATCGTGGCACCTGCAACTCAAATAAAATTTTGTGATTCTAAAGATTTTTTTTTTAGGTAATGTTTTTCAATTAAATGATGAAACTTTCGATCTTTCACACAAAATGAGAAAATACATTAAAAGATCCAGATTTAATATTTATTTTTAAATAGCCTTGAGAACTAGCCAGAAAACTGTAGAGAGATGAGATTTACATTTGAACAGCCTTGAACGCCGGTCCTTTGTGGTACTTAAAACTCCTATATATTGATAATAAAGACCACCTTAAATCGCTCTTAGTCGATCACGAATTTCTTGAGGCGACTAATAATAGTTTCAGCTATCGCTCCTAACTCGCCAAATGTAATGTATGACTGCCAAGATGCTTCAGCTTCGGTCTTCCAAAAGCTGGAAAATGGAGAAGAAAGTGCTTAAATGTTTCTGTCACAACTTCCTACTTACAACTTTGGCAATTTATGTATGATAATATATATTGCTTTACCGCTTGGAAGCCTATTGGACAATGGCTCGTAAGAACTCCTACGATTGCAGAGCTCCTGACATCAAGTAGTCAAGTGGATCTTCTGCGTTCTACTCTAGACCGGACGGGTTGCGCAGTCGTTCAAGAGCTGGTCATCGATCAATGCCTGGTAAGCTCATGCGAGGTCTATAGATCCAATCTTAGAACGCAGGAGGACCACCGGGGTCCACCTCGTTCACACTCCGATGTAAGGGTGCCGCCTTTTGTTAGCTCATCATCATATGCAAAGGGTTATTAGAGCTCGTAAATGAGTAGCACAAATGCAAAGTACAGGCAAAGAACTCGATCACTTGAAGAAAACACACTCTTAAAATAGCTTCCAAAGTTTTCTATACATTATCTTCGGATATTCACAAGTGAAATAAATTATTCAATACATTCCTAGCACTTCATTAAACACTAGACTCGATATAGCTGATTCAAAAGGCATCACTTCACTACAATTAATTTGATTGCCAATAAGCCTCTTGTTTCTGCAATAATCTGTTCACTAAAGCACAGTAACTGCTTTAATATTCCTTTTGTATTTCATTCGCACTCACACATACTTTTTACCGACTTTAACAAACCGTAAATAATGTTTCATCCTTTGCAATTCTTTCAAAGCAATCAGCATTGCATTTGGCCAAATATCCGAGTGTTATTAGCTGTGACACTCACAGATTCAGGTGGTGTCGTGTCTTCGGCAATGCATCTTTGTTGTCTCTGCTCTTTTGGCTTTGCCTTTCACCTGCATACGAGCTGCTTTTCTACAATTCCAACTGACATCATTCCTATAAAGCTCTGAAAGTTACATTTGCAATTGCTTGTTTGGATTACCGTTATGCGGTGCTATGTAGCGCTGCTGTTGTGTCGTATTTCTTTTCTAGTTCGCAACTTGTGCAGTCGTATGCTGTCGTTGCAGATTAGTTTTTGTGCAATGTGTCGTCCTTTTTGACACATCCATTTGGGAAGTTGCATTTACATGCATAAAATATGTCCTCTTCTACAAACTAACTGCCATACATTTCATTATGTACAATGCGTTAAGCAACAGTTTTATGGCAGTAGAACATGCAATTACAATTGATGAATGTGAAGAGTAAATTTGTTTTTGGAGTAAGATCTTGTTATGTTTTCAACCACTGCAAAGTTAATGAAATAGACTGGCAGCAGCGGAAGCAAAATTACTTGTAGTGACTTCAAAAGAAGATGCTGAAATTTTCAATGTTGCTGACTTAGATCTTTTTGCATACAATATACTGCTAGAGATAACAGTGAGCGAAATTTCAAGTACATATATTTTGAAAACTCCGGAGTTGTAAATATTAGAGACCTAAATAAATAAAAATCTACCAGCGAGACTAGCAATGAATTCAAGACTTCGTATTTTATTATAAAAACAGTTTTCAAGCTAAGATCATAATCCCACCTCATTGGATACCGTTAATTTATTGCTCGAGTTATTGATCGAATGGAGTTTATTTTTATTTTCTGAATTGAGACAAGTTTCAATACTCACGAAACGAAATTTACCGTTCTCTAATAGTCGAACATAGTTGGTATTAGAATAAACCCGAATAATTATCTGGCCAATGGCTATTATTCAGGCCCTTTTTTTAGATCTTCTTCGGAAATTTTTATGCCGCCAAAACAACATGCTCTCTAAATTCGCCATAAAAATAGTTTTTAGCCAAAAGCGAGACCATAGAAAATATAGAAATGCTAACGATATTGTTAGCTTATCTGAGAAGATGATTTTTCAGATTTCCGGAGAATATAAATTTGCGTAATAGCGCTACTAAACACACTGACACAACTTTCCGCCACGAGCTGTCAAAATCACGTCATCCCTGTTGGTAGACGCTGTGTATGTAAATAACAAAAATTGAAGTATATATTGAAACTTTTTTGAAACTTATTTAGTATGAGAAGGTTAGGGGGATGCGATTCTAGTTGTAGTTCGAATAAATCTACAGCTAAACGAATTATTTATGCTCCCATAGATAGTGACGTAGAAAGCAGTTTTTTCGTTTATTTTGGATATAATTTAGTACAACTTACTAGGATGTAGTTCTTTCTAAAAATATTTAATAGAAATCTATTGTCAAAAGATCTTAGAATTATATTAACAGTAGTTTTTATGCGAAGTCATATCAGTTAATATTACTTTTATAACGGTTTTTAGATACGAGGGGTGTTTCGAAAATAACGAGAATTTTTGAATTTTAAATTTCGATTGTCAAATTTTTTATTATGTTGATATACATTAGGGTGGAGCGAAAAAAAAAATTTTGTTTTTGCTAAGTAGTTTTTGTAAATGAAAAAAAAAATGTGTAACATCTAGAGTCCACTCACTTTAAAAGTAAATTTCGAGTTAACATTTTTTTTAAGAGTTAAAAATTTTGATAATATATCAGGAGCTGTGGAGAGTCCTCTTTCTGGCCAATTAAAAGTTATCAACTTAAAAATAAAAATGTTTGTGGTCATTATTGGAGTTTTAAAAAAGAATCTTAAACGACAACATGCTTTCCTTAGGCGTTAAAATAAATTTTGAGTCAAAAACCGTCAAATTCGGTAATTTTTATATAAATGTAAAGAGTTCAGACTAAACAAAAAAAAAATTTTTTTTCCAAAAATTTTCTTTTTTTAACAATCTACAAATTTTACCTAAGGTTAAGCAAAAAAAAAAAAAATTTTTTAATCTCGTGTTTGAGAAGTGTTTCGACGTTTGGACGAAGCGCTGGCATAAGTGCATAACAACGCATGGGGACTATTTTGAAGGCGGCAACATCAATGTAGACGAATTTCCGTTATTTTTTGAACATACCACCTATATGAAATACGAATAACTATTTTCGAAAAGTAGGGGAAATATACCATATATTATTTATACAAAAAAAAGTGATTAGAAACATTTTTGATTTATTATAGAATATGCTAATTCTCCGAGTAGCAGAATATGAACCAGTGAGTAGTCATTTTATAAAGCATCAAGAGAAAAACAATGAAAAATATTTTGTGAAAAATATGTTGTTGGTTCTGAAAAATCTTAATAAAAAAATTTTACGCAAGAAAATATTTATTCTACAATTTATGTTTTGTTCACCAACTTATTTGAGAAAATATATATTATGTTCATGGAGATTTTGGTTTGTGTATCATATTTTAAGCTTTCCTTTATTTACCACACTCATATGAACCACTGTCCCAAATTTGTGATTTTTAAGAAATAATAAGCATGCGAATAGCCTAAAAATATGCTACAGTATGAGGTCTAAACATATAGTATTGAAATATTAAGATTTTGAGTTATCTTTTTTCAATTATTTTCAATTTATTTGCAAAACTCTTATCAGATTTGTTTAGCATATAAACAACTGGTTTAAAATTATTTACCTCTACGTGACCCCAACCGTCCGCATTCATTTTCGCGGCTGCTTCGACACTTTCTTTAGCGCCCATCTTGTTGTTGTATTAGCTTTGCTTACGCACTGAAGATTACACTATAGTGCAAGCCTTGCAGATTTTGTCAAATATAGTCTCAAGTGGAAGTTTTTATTTTTTTTGTAATTTGTTAGTTTTGATAATTTATATATATGTAATTGGAGACGCCGAACTGTTTGAAAAACGATATTTTAAGCTTTCAAAAAAGAATTCTTTAGAGCACTCAAACAAATGTTGCGTAGCCTTTGTTCGTTATTAGAATATTACGGTGTATGCCACTACTTTTCAACTCTTCACAAGTCAAAAATAATTCAAAATTGCGAAGAACGTGTGTCACCCGGCCGTTTGTTGTTCGAAATGTAAGAATCTTGCTTCTGTTTGCAACTGTGTTGCAGCTGTGTGTGTGTGTGCGCGTCTGTCGCAGGTGCAGTTCGCTTTGTCACTTTGTCCTACTCAGCTGTCAGATTTTGTTTATTTTGATACCATTCGCTTACAGTTATATGTGTGGATGTGTGTGTTTGTGTGTGTGAGATTATTCATTCACTTTAAGTGTTCCACATTGATGCTGCTCCTTCGTTAAATTTACATTTTAATTTTCGTTTTTGATGAAATAAAAAGCCATTGCTGCTACAGAAACTCTCTCTTTTTCTGCTCCACGTGCACTCTTCAATGTGGCACGCTCTTTCGTATCGTTGGTGTGTGTTATTGTAATTGCTTTTTGGGGTTTTCGTTAAGTGCCTTTGATTGTTAAATTTGTTGTTGCTTTTGCTGCTGCTGCGCTATATTCCAACGCGACTGCGACAGCTGAAGTTTCTTGGGTGTTTTCAATGTTTTGTAATTTTGCTCCTACGATGATTTGTGATTTGTTTATAATTTTTTGAAGGAGTTTTGGTTTAAAATTTTTGGTTTTTTCGAATCGTCTACAATTTCAAAACTTTTACGATCTCAAAAATTATTGTTTTTTTCCATCAAAAATTATTTTTTGCTCACAAAAATTATATTTTCTCTCTTAAAAACAGTTTTTTGCGGCTCCACTTGGCAAATACCCTGTATAAGTGCTTTCTATGCTTCTTAAGGAATTTGTTTGTAACTTGTCATCAACACACTTGTCTAATTCTTGCCTGAAATTTCACTTTTCATCAACTCTTTTATTTGCTGCTTGTTTCGCACGCGTTCCACTCTTCGATTATCACTTTCTAACTAAACTAATGCTTTCTTTTTTGTCGCTTGCACCGAATAGACTTTTATAGCGAGAAAAGTCAAACAGACACACGTAGGCGAATATACAACACTGTTGTGCCGTTACACGAAAATACGACGAATGCGAAAACTTTAACGACTGCCTTTGAATAACATGTATATGTAGATATTTTATACACTTCTGCACGTCTTTCGATTTATTTCCACATATTATATGCAATTTTCACTTCGTAAAACTTGAAAATATTTGCTGCGCCACGAAATATGCAATTATTTTGCATTTAAATAGGTGAATACACTTTACAGTTGTATTTTAAGCATACCACCAGGCGTATACAGCTGGCCAAAGCGAGGAAAACGCTTCGTTAATTGTTTGCCAGCACAATGTTTCATTTAAACTCGAAGTAAATAGTTTCCAATTTAAGGTAGCATACTTTGAGGTATGTTGTTAAAATGTGTAGTATACTTTAGGACGCTCGTCGCGTATTGAACGCTTTTAGACGTACTTTAGTCTAAATTTAAGCGGCCTTTGTATAATTGTAGCATAGTATAAGGCGTACACTTTGACAATTCACTCCACAAACCTTTTTTAAATATATTTTAGTCTACTTTTAGGCGTTTATAATATATTTTTAGTCTACTTTAGCGCAGCACACTACGCAAAGTTCTTTTATTTAACGCTTAAAAACATTACTTTGCAGCAAATTTGGGCAAAGCTCTGCACAAATACACAGCACTTACGATTTTCTTTCTTTAAAGTCGAACTTATTTTCAAGCAAAACAAAAGCAAATTTCTCACAATTCTCACTATATTTTGCTAATATTTGCTATTTTTATGTGCGTTAGACATGTTTTTCTACTTTTTTTATGCACTTTTATTATCCAACTACTCACTTTCTGCACAATAGCGCTGAAAAGTATACAATAATATATATGTGTTTTTTTTTGTCTTTTGTCTTCTATCTGCTGTATAATTTCACGTAGCTAGCAGCAGCTCTCTACTCCCGCTAGTAAGCACGACGGCTATACGACAAATGCGCACGTTGAGCGTTTCAACGAACGGTAAAGCAGATTCGGCGGATGCGGCCACCACTTTTACTTACACACACACACGCACACAGCCACAAATACACGTGCGCGCTCAGCAGCACATAAACTGACAGTCAGCATCCCTGTGGCACGCATACATGCTTATGCATGGATAACTGTTAAATTTTACGCTCGTGCTGTTGCTGCTGCTACCGCTGGCAACGACGACGACGTCAGCTGTGCGCTGTTAACATTGACGCACAGTTGGGGATGTTTTCCTGTTGACGTTCGGAGGTTGGTGTGTTGTATTTTGCTGCTGGTGATAATAATGATGATTACAATGTTGCCGATCGATACAACAATGTGGCGCTGCGCACAAAGTGTTGTGTGTTGAATTCAAGAATATTTTTTGTTTCGGAGTTTTTGTTATCAGTGATAGTACAATACTTTGAAATGTTTTTTTTTTTTATAATTTTTTTATTTCAAATAATTTTTTTGGTTTTAGATTTTTTAAGTTTTGTTTTATTTAATACTCTATTTTATTTATTTATTTTTAATTTTATTTTGTATTTTTATTTTTTTTTTGTCGTCAGGATGTTGTGAAATGATTTTGGTATTGAAAATTTTTTTATTTATTAAATTTTTATTATATAATTGTTGTTTTTTTTTTGTTTGTTGTGGAATTTTTTTAGCCTTTATGTTTTATTTACTATTCAATTGTATTTTTTATTTATTTTAATGCTGTTTTTAAAAAATTTTGATTATTAAAATTTGTTTTTATATTAAATATTATTATTTTTTTTTTTTTGTGTTACTTTATATTATTCAATTGTATTTTTATTTTTTTCAGGAGTGCTTTGCAATTATTATTATTTTTTAATTTTTTTTAATATAATTAATTTTTCCAATGGTTTTGTTTAAAAGCAAAATTATTAATTATAAAAATTTGTTTTACTAGCTATTTCTTTTAATTTATTTTTGTGTTATTTTATATTATTCAATTTTAATATTATTTTATTTTTTCAGTGATGCTTTAAGATGAGCTTGTTTTTAATTTTTTTTATTATACAATTTAGTTATTTTTAATTTTTTTAATTTTTCTAAAATCTTTATATTTTATCTATTACTAAGTTTTATTTGTTTATTTTTTATTTTGTTTGTATTTGATTTTATTTTGAATATTTAATTTTTTTAATATTATTTTTATTTATATTTTTTTATATTAATTTTTTATTTTTTTATTATATTTTTATTTTATAAATAAATATTATTTTATATTATATTTTAATATATATTATTTTTATTTTTTATATAGTGATGCATTGAATTTATTTAATTTTTAAAAATTTCTTCTTTAATAAAATTTATTTTTTTTAATACTTTTTGAAATGTTTTATTTATTGTTCAGATTTATAATTTTATTTTTATTATATTTTAGTTAGTTTTTTATAATTTTTTTCAAATGCTTTAAGACTTTATATTTATTTATTATTTAGTTTTATTTATTTAATTAGTATTTTATGTATTTCATACACTGTTTCGAATGTATTCAAATGCCCCAATCGTAAATCGTATTTTAATTTTTATTGGCAATTTATCGAACTTTTTTGTTTTCAGTATTTTAATTTATTTAAATTAATTTTTATGTTAATTCATTTTTGTTTTTTTATTTATTTATATTAATTTTTTTGTTGCACACCCTTTTGCTGTAAAATTGTCAGTATTTTTACTTATTTCCAACACGATCAGTATTTTTTTAGTTTTCCTTTTATTTTCTTTTTTTTTTCTTTTTATTAATTTTGGTTTTTAAGAAATAATTTATTTTTTTTTTATAATTTTTAAATATTTTTGATTTATTTTTTTGTTGTACACTCTATTTGCTCGTCAGTGATTATTATATTTATATATACATATGTATATAAACATATATTTTTTATATTATTTATTTTAAGATTAATTATTACTTTTATTTAATCTTTTTTTAAAGTTAAATTTTTATTTTTATTTATTTTTCTTTTTTTTATTCTTTGTTTTTTATTATGTTGTATTTTAATTTTTTTTTATTTCTATGTTTCTATTAATATTTTTCTTTTTATTCATTATTATTGTTTATACCTCCACGTTTGTCAGCAGTTGCTTCAAAGTATTTGCCAAGGAAATGTCAAAACTGAACGAAACTACAGCTCGCTGCAAGAGCGCAATTCCGCTCTCCCCTCTTGTTATATGAGTTACTTCGTAAGCATTTTTTTTTTCTTTTTAACACAAATTGCACAAGTTTTTCATATATTTTCACTTTTCTTTTAGATATTATTTTCCATTAAAAAAAATTAGCATTTATTTTTCAAGCAACTCCTGGCTTCTTCATCACTTATTTCGGGCACCAGCTCTTTGCGTCCTGTGCGAGGTGCTGTGGCATGAGAGAATCAGCGTAGAAGTTGCATAAATCACCACACCTTAATTTGCTTTTTTAATTAAAAGCGAAAATTGCAGGCAAACAAACACACACAAATGAGCGCAATTTTTTTATTTAAAAGTTTATTTTGCAAAATGCTGTACATTGCAGTGTTGTTGTTTACTTTTTATTAAATAAAATACAGCCTCCATTTATATTGACTGCCAAACGAACACACACACTACGCACAAGCAAGCACTAAGGCGAGGTGTTGCCACTTTTGCTTTAAATTGATTAAATTTCACTTTTGCTAAAATATTCTACTTTAAATTTGGCCTTTTCACACTTTTTCACTTTAATTTACCTATAAATTTGTTTGTATGTATATATATGCAGCTATATTTATTTACTATATATCTGTGTATATGTATGCCTTGCTCTCTATATTTGACAGCTCAGCTTTCGCTTAGTAGCATAACAACACCGCTACACAACCGAAGCCTTCGAAGTTTTGAAATTGTTTGACCGCAGCTCCAACTCTGGCTCGTCGCTGCCTCTGTGTGTGGCCTGAGCACTTGGTCCAGCTGCTGTTATGCGAATTCGCCGCGCTTATGCGAAAAATCGAATGCCTATGCATCACGCTCCGAATATTAGGAAATTACAAGAACAAACTCAAAAAAACAACAACAAAAAGTAAATAAAGAGAATTTGCTTAAGCAACTCTCACTCGCTAAATACACTGGCTGGCACTGTGTGTTTACATTTTTGTTGTAGCGAGTGCACTCAATTCGCTGCCATTGTAGTTGTTGTTGCTGTTGTTGTTCGATTGTAGTGGATGCCATGACTGGGACGTCAAGCTGCTCCACCACAACACAGCCTCAGCATTCCTGTAGCTGTTCTATAAATATTTTCTTTTGTTGTTGTTGTTGCTGTTCTTTTGCGCGCATGTGTTTACATGCACCTGTATGCATGCCGTGCGTAAGTGTAAGTGTAAGTGTGTGTGTGTGTGTGTATTTTATTTTATTTGTTTTTTGCTGTGCTCCCTGTAAGCGGGCGTTGTGGCATTGTTGTTGTGCTGGTTTGTTGTTTTAACGTTGCTGCCGTTAGTTTCGCGCACACACGCATACACACACACACACGTAGAACACACTTTTCCCACAGCTTTTTGCACATTTCTCTGGTGAAAGTTGTTCCCTATTAACACTGTCACTTGTCACTTTTTTGCTCTTGTTGTTGTTTTTTCATTTATTTTTTCTGTCATTTTTTGTTATTGTTGCTTTTGTTTTTTGCTTGCAAAATTTCCGTTGTGAAAGTAAAGTTGCCTGCTTGCAAGTAAAGGAGCACTAAGCGCACATACACTCTTACATTTTTGTTGTGGCATATTCCATGGCGGCTGCTTTTACCGTTAGCATCCCGGTTTTATTAGCACTTTTCGTTTGCACGTTTTGTCCCTTTTATTTTTCTATTTTCCATGCTTTTGTTTTTTAATTTACTTTCGACTTGGTATCTATTGTCTCTCGTTTCACATGTGTATGTATGCATGTGAGGGTGTATGTATGAGCTTATGTTTGTATGTGTTTATGTATATATGTATGAGCAGCGACTAGGGACTTTTAGCCATCTATCTATAATGATTTTTCAAATTAATGTAGGGCAGCAGTTATTATAACTGTATTTGAATGGGGTTGTTGTTGTTGTTGCGCATGAGTGAAGGTGTTAGTTCAATAAAGTTCGAGCCTTCAATGACTTTTACATTACTTATATTGATTTTGCTTAATTTGCTATTGATTTTTTTCCTCTTTTCATTAATTTAACGGTTGGTCAGGGTCATTAGGTAGATATAATATATGCATATGTGTACCTACAAGGAAAATTCTTTGTGTTATCACATTTATTAAATCACTTTCATTTCTTAAGCTAAATTTAGGTCTAAGAAAAAAAGTATGTTGCTCCAAATCGCTTTAATCTTCGACTTAGTATAATCTCATAAGTAGAGCAAACTCGGAGCTTCCAACTTACACCATTTGTGCTCTTGTACCATAGCATACATTTAGGAGCAATTAAATGTAATTTTTTCTTACAGTTTCTCGCGGTCTAGAATACAATTATACTATAGTTTGATACTTCTCTGCCAAAGTTTCTGTGCTAGACTGCTTAAAGATGAGTGAAGCATACGTTCAAGAGCAGTGTATCGATTGTGTTGAATTGTCGCAGTTATACTAAGTTCCACTTTTGTCATAGCAAATATTGAATTCTCAAACATACGCTCTTTAAAGCATAAATTTAAGAGCATCATACCCATTAATTACTTTCCGAGTTCAATACCGTTTACTTATGAGTTTTTTTTTAGAATTTATATTCTATATTTTCCAAAATGTTCAACTTATTCTTTTGGCCTAACTTTCAGGTTTAATATATTACATTGAAAATTTCTATGCCAAATTGCTTTGAGAATATCATATTGTCTAAAATGCTGAATAATTACAAATTAAAGTAATCGAGGTATATATTTAGAAGCAGTTATACTAGGTTCCACTTTTCACATAGAAAACATTGAATTGTCAAACATACATTTAGGAGCTTCATACCTATTACATACGTTCCGAATTGAATATCATTTATTTTTGAGTTTTTTTTTAGAATTTTAATTCCTAATTTTCCAAAATGTTAAATATTTTGCATCGAAAATTTCTATGCCTAATTGCATTGAAAATATCCTATTATCTAGAACGCTGAATAATTAAAATTTTAAGTAATGCAGGTATATATAATATTTACGAGCAGTTTTCAAATCCTTTTGGTATATATCGAAGGGACATATATTGCGATCTTTAGTACACTAGTTCATCGTCAAAATCTAATGGTTAAAAATGGTGACTTCTGGAAGCATACATTTAGGGGTTTATACCTATTTCCTGATGTCTCAAAGTTTCTTGCAGAAAAATGCTCTTGTTTGAACTTATTCAACTTTAGTGCATTAAACACCACCGCTACTTCCTGAAATGGTCGATTAATCCTCTCTTTTATGGTTTCAAACTTGTGCGAAGTAGTAAGTCGATCGAAAGATCGAAACATAGGTTTAGGGTAAGT